GAAGGTCCAAAGCAAAACCTATGTTCAGGTCCATAAAGTAAAAAGGGGGAGGTTTTTACTTACTAGACCTTGATTATCCACCTCTGAATTACACTTCATTCCATCAACTGAAATTAAGTAAAAGTTAAGCTCAACTGCTCCATATAGAACAGGACTGAAGATCTCACTAGAGACTAGTCAAGCTTGTGTCAGTGATAATGACAAATACAATCAGTTGATACAAGATGGAAAACAAAACTGAAACAAGAAACACAGATAACCTCTGCTAATTGTACTGTAAAGACGCTCAGGAATAGATTATTTCACAAATGTGGATTGAATGTGGACAGGAAGCCATAAATACTGATTCAGTTAAACTACTTACTAAACCAGATTATATATTATCAAAAACATTTATCACAAAGTAATTTATGGTGTATGTCCATAAAAGTCTCTTTACTGTATGCACCATAGCCTAGTCTTTACTGATGAAACTACCAATGTGTATTCTCCAGTAAAATATCTAATTTGCCAAGCCTGAAGAAAACAACCAAGCACCAAGCAGCTATTTGTAGCAACAACATAGGGTATAAGATAGAGAGGGTATAGGGGACCTCCAAACAGGGAGAGCACTCATGTCCAGCCAAGGCCATATGGCTAAATGTTTGAGTGATATGAATAGCTTCCAGCTGCTGTCAAAGAGCTCGGGGTTGCATCTTTATATATACCTGTAAATATTCTTTCACTTCTGTGGACTGCAGTATCGAAGAATTAGCCCTCGCCTTACCCCAACACACAGAGAGGCCAACACTTACACCACACAGACGTATCTAATGTTATCTCATGTACCGGCAGATGCTTGTTATCCATGCTCCAGCCACAAATATGCTCTGTAGTAGTTAGTATAGTAGCTGGTGCCCTTTATGCAGGAGACTGGGGTTCAATTCCCTGCTCGGGCAGGCACACCATGCTATATAAATAAGAGTCCTTGGGCAAGACTCCTAACACTACATTCACATTCACTACATTTCACTCTGTAAAAGGATTAAATTGGAAATTGTTCTGGGTAAGAGTGTTTGCCAAAATGCATAAATGTAAATAGTGTTTCTAGGCTGGACAAGTTTTACATAAAGTCGAGAAAAAAAACTAATTTGACCTAATGCAAGATTTGGGTGCATAACTCTGTCAGAATTGCTATATTCAGAGTGAGATATAAATTGAAAACCATATTTATTTTGTATACACATTATACTTCTACAATAGACCAGGTGTAGCTTTTGGTCATGTAATAAATCAAACAATAGCATGGTGAAGTTTTTTTTTTCCAATCTATGATAGTTCAGTAGCACACCATTTTAAACCATACTTGTGGTCTGAAATGAATCATTTAGTTACAACCTCTCAACAGGTTTAATGAGATGTTGGCTAACATTGTGTAAGCTTGTCAGCCTCGCAACAGTAGCTACGAAAGAACACATTTGTGGGCGGAGCACGGATAGGTCAATTACACTGACTACTTCTATTTACCAGAAGATTTAAAATCTTGGCCCAAATCCTTCGCCATCTGATTGCTACAGACATTTCCATTATTCCATTTGCTGCGAGGGCATAGGGAACGTAACTGGAAAAGCATCTCTATTTAGCTGCTTAAGCATGAAATCTAATTAGGCTTGGAGACGGAGGGGAACGTGGCAAGGGCCAGGACAGAAACGGTGCTGATGGGAGATTGAGAGCGGTGGGTATTGCGATCGGGCCAGCTGCCTGGTGCCGTCTCTCTTTTTCAGAAGCCAAAAGCAGGACAGCGAGCCATCGCTGCAGCTGCAGGGACGTGGAGACCCGATCAGGCCGTGATGCATACAATGACTTAATGGACACTGATCCGAGCGGAGTGCCACAGAAGGAGTCAGAGCGCATGAATCCGAAAGGCAACCGGAGGAAACGAGAGAGAGAGGGGGAAAAAAGCAATACTTGCAGCAGACTGACTAAACATGCCCTCGGGAGTCACATAAAGACATAGGGACATTCCAATGTGCTGTTGCAACAAGGAGGATCCAGGGCAGTGAGCACTGGAACATGACAAGTTCTGTAGCATCATAGAGGCTCCAATCATGAGGGGAGAGCTGTAACGGCTATAAAATGGCATATAGGTGAATGTAACCTCCCCCCAGACCTCACCCCGCCCTCCTTGCCCCTCAACCCCATGCCAATCATGAGGGACATTCACGGGCAGAATCTATGACATCAGACTTTTCAGCTTGGATGATGTTAATCATCTGCCTCTCAGCGCAGCAAGTGCTACAAGACACCCGTGGGGAGGGAGCGTGGGGGGGGAAGAAGGGAGAGAGAATGCTGGAAAGTGCGAGAGAGGGAGAGAAAGAGAGAAATGCAATGCGCTCATAGAACATCTGAAGCAGACAAAGCCTGGCATGTGGAGGTTAGAGCCTGGGCACAAAGATACAGTCACGCACTGTGACAGAGAGGGAGAGGGCTTCAGACGAGGGGAAAAAAAGGAATGGGGGGGGCGGCTGAGGAGGCAGAGGGATAAATAGTGATATTCTACCAACAATGGAGGTGTGAAAATTACACTCCAGCACAGACAGGGCGTGGACATTAATTGATAAAGTCAAAAATACACTGTATCTGTCTTAGAAGGTTGTCATCATAAATCAGTCACTCAAGGCAAAGCAAGGAGGGAAGGATGCGACCCACTGTCTGTGAGAATGTGAGTAATCAACAAGCTGAAATGGAAATGGAAAGTTCTTTCAAAATGTAACAATGCACTTCAGAAACATGCTCTTGGTCTGAGGGTGATGTCCTCCATGATGTCCTTCTCAAGGCACAAACCCATGCCCCATGTAATCGGACTGATGTATCATTTGGCTGGCTGGTGTGCTGTTTTTTGCCATTAGCAAAGCTTCAGCTGGATGTGGTCCAGTGTAGTACGCAGCCTTAGCCTGGCCAGTGTTACTCTATGTCAAGGTGTCATGTAGAGCAGATCTAAGATCAGTTTGCCACACCCAAACTATAACCATCAACTATTAAGAAAGATCAATGAAGAGAAAGATTACTGAAGAAACTGTTCTCAAACTGAAGAGCTTGGATGTCTGCAAGAGCCCACAAATAATTGCTTTATTTTTTCATTCTGTTTGAGAGATCTGGGCTCTGCACACATAGTCATAGTTAAACATCACCAAATTTTGGGAAAAATGCAAATGACCAGCTTTTGGACCTGCGACGAATAACAAATGACTGCTTTTAGCTTAATTAACCCAATGAAACTAGACGTCTGAATGAGGGAGAGAGGAGTAAAAGAGTGAAAAGAAAGAGTAAAATTGTTTAAATTATTTAAAACGCTCAAATACATCACAATAAAGTATAGCATAGTATATAAGTACATAGTACTTGTATTGAAATCATAAGGCCAACGCTCAAATACTATAAATATCTTGGCATCTATATTGAAGGCAAGTTGTAACTTTTAAAAAAATAACAATTATTAACTAAGAACGTGGCAAAACAAATGCCGATCTTGGTGTTGTTCTACGCTTGCATTGTGAATTGTGTTTGAGGTGGGGTGACCAAAGTGGGGAACACAGAACGGCTTCATGGATGTCTGAACTAAAAAGGGACGACTATGAATGAAACCATGGCTTTAGTCTCGCTGTGTAAATGATATGAAAACACCACACTGAAAGTAGGAGGAGAGAGGAGGTGAGTCAGCTTTGTGTTCCCACCTTCTTGTGTCCCTGTTGCTGTACAAATTCTGCTCAGTCTGCGTACAGTAAGGCTGAAATGAAGCTCACGCGGGGAGCACAGCCACCGGCGGCCTCGAGCCGAAGATGAAGTGAATTCACAGATTTGGCTTACGCTGATTTAATTCACTTCCCTGGAGTAAAAAAAGGAACCGTGTGGTGCACATCTGTGCTGAGGTTTCTCTCAAATACCCCTCACAGTGCTACACTCTCAAAAAAGATTTCTTCTTAAAACCCACTTACACATGTGTACACAGTGTTTCCTTACTTGGGATTTGTTCTGAGGTAAGAACAGAATCTACACACACTCAAGAGCACAAAGATTCAAACAGTTCTGCAGTTTAAGAACACATCATGAACGTGACGTAGACTTTTTCTTATGTCTCAAGAACAAATTTAAGAAAAAACTTCGGTGATATTGGTGAATAAGGACTATTGGTTCTATTTAGAACCATGAGTTCTAGAGCCACTTCATGCTTAAATCGTCTTTTGCATTGTGAAATGGTTCATCAGATTGATGGAGAATGTGTTGTATATGGTTCTACATAAAACCTTTTTGAAAATGGTTCTACATAGCACCAAAAGAGGTTCTGCTATTGTTACAATGTTAAGCTTGTTACAGTAGAAGAACCATTTTTGGTGCTTCATGGTACCATTTTCAACACATTCACCATCAATCTAATGAACCGTTTCACCATGCAGAGAACCGTTTAAGCATGAAATGGCTCCATACAGAATTCATGGTTCTAAATAGAACCATTTTTCTTACTAAGGAACCTTTGAAGAACCATCTTTTTTAAAAGTGTAAGACGGTTACAAGACAGGAGAAAGCAGAAGATGGAACAGACTAGCTTCTGGACTGTAAGTCTCTCAGGCTGTTCCTACAGGACAAACTCCGTTACTTCAGCTCAGATAAGCATCTTCAGGAGTCAGTTATGAGGCTTCGACATGAAGTTCTCGCATGTTCTGCTTTAATTTCAACCAGACAGACCGCTCAGCCTGGTAAAAGTTCACCGTGAGCGGATTTAGCTCCTGCTAGCCTGACTCCGGCAGGAGCAACTTGTGGCTAACAGCTAAACTGGAAACAAACACAAGAACATACTGGAACGGCTCCCACCCAGCTGCTCCGCTCCTCGAGCACTTCCGGCTACATCTGGAAAACTCAGCCAGCTTCCTTCTCCTCAGATAACAATGATAATAATAATATAAAACCGTAATAAAAACAATAATAATACTTTTTCCAAAGTCACACGAGTGTCGTTCACTTACTGCTGTGAGTCGGGGAACTGGACGGAGGAGACCCAGCTGAACACAGAGACCAGCAGTACCGCTAAGAGTGCAGCAGCAGCTGCGGGGAGTTTGTGCGCGTCCATGGCTTTGGACTAATAGAGCAGTTTCCTCTCGTGTTTACCTCCAAACAGTCCAAAATCCACCTAAACAAGCCCACCCACCGCCATCACACGGAGTTTGGAAAGCAGTCGCGGGCGCCTCGTCTCTCCAGAGCCAGTTTGTAATGTTTTCTCTCCTCCAGTGAAGGCGATCCTGTGAGCGGGGCTCCAGAGCTGGTGCTGACAGAAGGAGGTGTGGATGCTGTGGAGGTAACGGAGCTGCTGCCTGTCTGTGGCGCTGGGAGCGTATGTGTGTGTGTGTGTGTGCGTGTGTGTCAGACTGGGCAGATCGCTTTCCAGGCCCCCCCACCCCCATCTGCGCGCGATCATCATCACCACTACACACTGCTCTCCATACAAGGCGCTCCGAGAACATAGACACACACGCACACACACACACACACACACACACACACGCACACTCCCACCCCCCTACCAGCCCATTTTTAGCTTTATTATTCTCACGAAGCCACAAAAGTACGACCCTGGCCCATATTTAGGAGAGTTCCCAGAACAGTGAGGTCAGTAGTTTACCTTTTCTATCCCAGTGGTCCCACAGCCCAGGTCATAACTGTTACAATGATGAGGCGGTGTGCATGCTTCAAAAGGCCCATATCATGAAAAACCCTTTTTATCTAAATAAAAGAGCTTGATGTAGTATGTAGACAAAGTTTCAAAGCATACAATTCACTCCTGAGTTCACACAGCTCATATAAAGAAACTAAGCTGCAGCTGCCCCTTCACAATGGTGGTGATTGGAACCAGGCGCCTCTAAAAGTTCCCTCACCTAAAGTTATTACATGAACTGGTTATGAATATGCTGCCTAATGACTGACTACATTATGATAAGATTTTGGTTTGAAATGTTGTGTCTTTAATGCATTCATGGCTAAGAGGTACATTCCGGACATTGTAAGGCAAGATGACACCCAGAGAAAACTTTTTTCAGATTTACCACTATTTTATCATTATTAACATTATATATATATATAGAAACTCATGAGATGTGCAGGTTCACTGATGGTTTCGGCTATATTTGTGTTGTTGACATAGTGACCCCTGGTTCTTATCACCACCACTGTAAAGAAATTAGTCTCTAAGTTTCATTACAATGAACCATGTCACATCAAACCACTCGGAATGACTTTGACATCTCAATGGCTGAATTACACAGAAATTTAGAAAAATGGGTGGAATTCTCCTTTAATGTTGACCTTGAATTCGAAAGCTGATATTTTGAAAGGGAGGTGGGGTTAAAAGGAAACATGTTCCCAGCCCAGTGAACTATAAAATAACCAGCACCAGCCATTTATTTTTATCTTCTGGGAAATTTTGTGCTGTCGACAAGACTGACTGTGACTAAAAATGAAGGCTGACTTCAACAGTGAAGTAACTGGTTCTTTGTCCCAAACTATCATTTGCTTTTCACAAAGTAACTTTTTATCCCACATATAAAAAAGACATTTCTTTGTGAATATAATGTACATAAGACATGTTGTGATTCTGCTCACAATGAGATTTTCCATTACCATTTGTGGTAAATGCCAATGCCCAGCAATATTATTTTCAAAGTCTCACAAAAAGAAATTGTGAATCAATACAAATAATTAAAGTTTAATATTGGAGAACGTAGTGTGATCTGTTGATTTCAGTGCTATTAAGGATGTGCTGTGTTTGCAGCCAGGGTAGGTCTGTGAAAAGGAGTAAGCCTCTTGCCTTAGTTTCTATTACACCTGAGAAATCTGTATTTACCGAGCAAATAAGCAGGGCGCTCTGCGCTCAGCAAATATGAGGATTGTGTTCAGGGCATATTAGAGGAGCTGAGTGTGTTTGTGTGTGTGTGAGTGAAGTGGATGAGATCCAAAAGCAGACAATCACACTGCACTTAGTGAGACTAAAAAAGACTCAATGTATATAATGTATAACATATGAATAATGTATGTATTATAATGTTTATTGCACATGGGCTGTCCAGCTCCACCCTGGCTTCACTTACTCATAATCACCCACACCTGTAGTTTGTTTCAGGACTCGTTAACTCACATATACTATATATATCCCTAGTTTGTCTTTGTAATTTACAAAGTCTTTCCTTTCTGTGTTTCTCTGCAATGGCGTGCAGTCGGGTTCCCTTTTGTTTATATTATCTATTCCATCTGGTGTTTTGACCTTTGCTCTGTCTTTTTCTGGTTTGTGATTTTGGATCATCCCTGTGTTTTTACCTTCATGCACTTGCATTAACCACTGCCTGTTATGATGACTACATGTCCATCCCTTGTCAAATTGCATGTTTTGTTGATTTTCTTTAATACATCGTCTACAGGGAACTTAAGTATAGTTTTTCTGCATCATTCAGTGCACAATTTCTGATTATTTGCTGAATTTAACATATTGGAAAAAAATCTAAAATATAAAATGTGCTATAACTTTTGCACAGGCCACATTTATGTTTTATTTCTTGCCCAATATGTTAAATTCAGCAAATAAACAGTAATTGTCTGTTAAAATGTGCAGAAGTGTGTTCTCTGTAGAGGATGTGTTAACTTATTTTAACCCAAGCTTTCATATATAGCTGTATGAGTGTTGGAAGCCCCCAAATAAAGGTACTCAGTGCATGTATTCTGCTGCCTTATGCTACAGACTTACATTCTAACCCAGGGTTGCCCAATCCTGCTCCTGGGGACACACTCATCCTGCAGGTTTTATTTCCAGCCCCAATTTGGTTTACTTGATTCATCTAATCAACAAGTCAGGATTATGTGAACAGTAGAGGTGGATGAGTTAAATTAGGGCTGTAACCAAACTTTGTAGGGCAGACCACCAGGAATAGGGTTGGGCAGGCCTAATGCAAACTGTAGACTTATATAATATAATACACCCCACAAGACTCTTCACAGTAATGAACATGTCACAAGGGCATATGAAGATTTTAGGCAAACTTGCTCCTTGTTTTATGGCTCATATGTGATTCTATGGTATTAGCAACATCTGACACAAACATTTTTCCAAAAGACTAGGGATGTGTATATCCCTCTTTCAAATGATACAATGCGAATCTATTTTATGAGTCGGTTTTTTGTTAAACCCCTAAAAAGTCTGTATTATCATGTAGAGGATCTTTGCAAAGTGACATTAGACAGTTTTGTTTTGAATTACATATTCATACTTATGTGTTGTCATAATAGGCTTCAAACAGAAGTCACTGGTTTTGCTCTCTTAAATTATTCTCACTTTTACTCTGATAAGCCTCTAACAGAGTGTCTTAGCACTAGGCAGGTTAATGTTAATGCTTTCATTATTGGTTATCATCGGTTAATCTAAATACTTCTGTCCATTGACAGACTAACTTCTTTTCTTAGGCCATGTTCACTACTGTGTGTTCATTGTCGATTCTCTAAGCTTTATATGGCTCTTATGTTATTGTTTTGCTGTTCAGCATCAAACAGAGGAGGATGGCTTCCCCTTTAAGTCTTGGTTCCTCTCAAGGTTTCTTCTCTTGCTCTTAGAGAGTTATGTACTTTACTGAGAATAATAACTGGGAAAACTGCCTTAAAAACCTGCTAACATATTTAAGGCCAGGTTGCTAAGGTGCTTAGAATTCCACCATATATGATAATGAAAGGAAATGAAGAAAAACAGTCTAGGGTTGATCCCTGTAGCCCAGTGTTCAAGTCAGTCAGGATGTGCTTTTGCTGAATGAGTTTAGTGGCACGGGCAGGTGGGGCTTTAAGTGCCGGCTATCTGGGGATTCACTGCTCTTGGCCGTCGCCTAGCAACGCTACACTGTCTCCTCACAACCACACAAGACTCCCCTATGTCAGTCAGCAAACACACCTCAGAGATGGCACTGAAGAAAGGAAGCGGAGTAAGGTGTCACAGGAGGACAAGCAAATGGACAGAGAAAAAAAGAGTAGTACTGCCTTTTTTCTCAATGCAAAAGGGGAAAAAAAGGGAAGAATGAAACAAACAGTGACTAAGCCAGCGTGCATTCACAGTGGGACCGGTCACCCGTTACGCCATATTACCTCATCCAAACTGGCAGCTTTGCATAGTTCAGCACTAAACGATGGTGAGCGTGATGTTATGGATCTCTCGAATTAGTGTGGGCCTCACTGGGGGGAGGGAAGCTGCTGTTTGGGTCACTAGAGGTTGGCTTAGTGCAGGGGTTCCCAACTCTACTACTGGTGACCTCATGCTTTGCACATTTTTGCATTTTCCTCACTCAACACCCCTGGCACAGCCCACAAGGAGATTAATAAATAGTTAATGAGTTGAACTAGGAGTGCTCAATTAGACAAAGCACAAAAATGTGCATAGTGTGGAGTCACTAGGTCTGGCTTTGGGAACCCCTGCCTCGGTGGGTGGGATGCAGAGAGTAGCTTAGATCAGTGTCTCTCAGCCCTGGTTCTGGAGGCTAGAGGCCTACACATTTTAAGCACTTTGATTTTGTCAGCTTGAATTAGCAGTGTTTTCATTCTGAAGTAGTAAAATATCATAAGAACGGAAAAATGGCCTCGGGTGAGCTGACACCCAAAACCCAACTATCTATATCACAATCAGGAGCAAGCATAGTATAAATAAAACATGGAATTCACCCCCTACATGTGTGATAAAAGCAGCCAGCGCCTCCATGTTGCTCTCCCTGTCTCCCGGTATAGTGGAGCGCCCCCTGATGCAGCCACCCAGAAGGCACTCAAGCCGATTCCTATTATAGTGATAGGCCAAGCAAAAGAGAAACAAAAACCCATACGGTATAAACAAAAGTCAAAAAACACTCCACATTTATTTAATTTCCTGTCAAAACAGCTATTGAGTACAAGTTATTCATTCTTCAGTGTCAGGAAAAAAAGCAGAAAACATTAACAGAAAATTACAGAGAAGTCTCAACAACTAAACATAATATTAAATTCTTCTGTATTTACTGTGTCCACTCTTTACCATTATTACAGCTTCCATTGTGTTCAGGAGAATTGGTTTCAGTTTTTCAAAGAAACCATCTGATAATTCTTTTAGTCATCCAGAATCAAGAACCACGGTTACATTAATAACTATAAAGTCCCAACAAATGGCAATCGCTCAAGGCTGCCCACACCCAAAATTGGCTCACAAGAACATTAAAGTGTAAATATAGCGTTTGCGTATTTTAATACCTCAATTTGAAGCCAACCTAGATTTTTATTTGTATACTGTTTTGTCCCTCTGCCCAACACAAACATTGCACTTTGGCGTCCCAAGACAAAAGGTTTGGGCACCCCTAGCCCAGAGTTATGCTGAGATAAGTAGCACATCCAAACTCAATGCAGGCCACATAGACACCTAG